GGTTATTTGTTTTAAAGTTACACCAAAAACCAAAATCGATTTTTTGGAAAACCGATTTTGCGTAAAAATTCCCGTTTTTCCTTTATTTTTATTTTGTTTTTCCCGGCGCTTTTGAAAACTACTGGGAAATTTAAATTTTGACCTCTCCAATGCACCAACGATATTCACTTTCCAATCGAACAAGATACTGAAGTTGAAAATCGAAGCATTATTTCGACTACTTATCGTGTACACAGACACAAAAAAAAATAAAAAAATAAAAAAAAAAATAAAAACACACATCATTGTAAAATCAATACATTCATCGTTTTACTCAGAATCTAAAATTTGGTTTTTAATTTCATGGATTTTTTTTCATTTGGTTTTTTTTTCCATAGTCTTTTTTTCCTTGGTTTTTTTTCTTACAACCCTTTATATATTACTAGCTCTAAGTGTAACTCGGGGCCCGTTGAACTCGCTGAGAGTGGGTACCGATTTTGGAGACAATGAATTATAAAAGTCGCAAAGGTTGTAAGACGAAAGTTTAGGATTTGTGATAAGGATTAGTGACATGGATTGGAGATGAGGCTAGACGCTTGGGCGGGAATGTTAAAAGTTTGAGGGTCTAGCAATCCGTCACAAACGTTGTAAATGGATAGGCTGGATACGATCTCCAGGATCGCCTATATAGAGTATACCTGCACATACCATGAACGGTGCTTTATCTTATGTAAATAGTGTAAAGTCGAAAACCGTGTTGGAGTTTCTAGCAAGTCAGCCATCTCAAGTCAAAATCTATTAACTTTCAAGTTAAACACTTAGGGTAGGCAATCCGACTTCGTCGGATCGCGGACAATGTGCTACAGCAAATCAGGTAGGCAATCCATCTGCGGTGGATTGCAGACCCGACATCAAGCGGCTATAAGTGAAAACCCTATCACACAACTTACGAAAAATTCAAACTATATACAATATACATACAAACAAATATGATATGTATTTATTGTGGGATATAATATAACAATGAACATTTTGAGAAATGTGCAATTATAATTCCTAAAAAAAATTAACATATAGGTAGATAGTTATAGATATATCGATATGACGATATATGCTATTATATTAACCAATATAATACATATAAACATGTAACTATATAGTGTATATAAAATATTAATTTAAAAAAAAAATGCAAAAACCTGCATGTTAAAGTGTCTGTCAAGTGAATCATCACCGTTTAAGACGAAACTAAAATGAGCAATCCGTCTATCACCTATATATAGTAGGTATATCACATAGAGTGGTATGTGCCTTCGCATGTCCGGTGCCTTTTCTTATGTAAAAAGTGTTAAGTCGAAAACCGTGTTGGAGTGTCTAGCAAGTCAGACATGTCAAGTCAAAATCAAGATTAACTTTCAAGTTAGCCACCTAGATAGGCAATCCGAAATCCGAAATAAATTACAAACTATATTTATATATAACAATCATGGAAATTTTGAAAAAATATGCAATTATAATAATTATAATAATTCCTAATAAAACAAATATAATATGTACCTACCTATTTATTGTGTGATATAATATGACAAATGACAATGACTTTAAATAATAATAATGTACGTCGTACGATATGTTCCTGTATTATTAATTATTATATTATTATTTAATTTATATGAAAAATAACGTGAAAAAAAAATGCAAAAAAAGTCGGGTTTCGGGCGGCCGTGGAAACCTTATACCAAAATGACGGTTACGTCGCCCGGACAGCGTACGACGGATTCGAACCCAGGACCTACGTGTTTCCTACCTAACGCCTAACCTACAACCTACTTGGACACAATTTGAGATATGAAGTACGGTGAAAACATCAACACTTAAGCCGTGCATCTATGGAGCGACGTAAACCGATATATTATTCGATGATTATCGATGTAATCGCATATAATTCGCTTGTAATACGCACATCTCCCATATATATATATTTAACGGGGCGTGTGAAAAGCGTTTTCCGTTAATATTATTAAATCGTAGGGAAAAATTAAATTATACACGTACCTATACATGTATATATACGCGTACGGTCGGTCGGTCGCTTCTAAACGCGATCGCGAGGCGAACGAATCGATTTCGGGGGAAAAGCGCATATAAACGGCTTTAAAAAGACGTCGACTACACGATTCGGGTACAAACGGCGTGCGAATAGACGAAACGGTGGGAGAAAAGGAAAAAATCGGCAAAAAAGTCCGGTCGAGAGTGTATTTATTTTATTTTTATTATTTTTCACATTGCGACCGCTTCGGACGGCGCACGAATATAAACCGCACACCGGCGGCTTCGAATTAAGTATAAAAAAGGGCGAAATGGGTCGAAATCATGTAAAACCAGCTAATTTTCCGAAAATTTCAAAAATCGGCGAAATGATAGGAAAAGAGGTGATTAATAATACTTAGTTGTTTAAATTTCAAACAGCATAATATATTATTAATATTATTATAAATATTTATTATTTATTATAATATATTATGATATTATTTAAATTATTTAAATTTTAAAAGTTATACCTAATAATTCACAAGTTCACAAATTGTTGACCACAAAATGTTTGCGCCCGGGGCAGTAGTCGCCTTTCCCCAGTGGCGGATCTAAGGGGACATTCACCCCTCCCAAATACACTGTGTTTAGCCAATTTTGGAACTTTTTGTACTTTTGCCCCCCCCCCCAAGCCCTCCCCAAAATGAATCCCTGGATCCGCCACTGCCTTTGCTCTCCGTAAATGTGGTTCGTTTCCCCAATTACTCATTAGGAAATACAATAATGTATTCTACATTTCTATGTATACCTACATTATACCATTGAGTACCATATATTATATTATATAATATATATAGGTACCTACTCAATGATTATACCAACGAGAATGCCTATAAATGTACCAGTTTAAATTAGAAAAAAATATTAATCATCTTTTGATTGTAACGAAAACCGATTCGAGCACAAGCGCATAAAAATCAAAAAAAAAGGAATTAAATAATAGTGTACAATTTTCCAACACGATAATTATAAAATTTCGGTTTGTTGTGATTGACATAGACAAAAAAATGTGGAACGCTTCACGATTTTGCGTGTCATCCTTGCGCAGGGGCCATGCTAATCTTCTCTGTACGGTTCCAATTTTAGTATATGTACAGCCAAAGCTAGTACATTGAGAACTGTGCCAAACGCTGTATACATATAAAGGAATGTTGCTTGTAACGTTACATAATATGAGAATTAGTACCTTTTATTCAAAATATAACGATTGAACTCCTGACCGAAACTATAACGCCAATAAATAGAGCTAGTTCTGTAGCCACTCATTCACATTCACTGTTTGTTAGATTCACGGTCTTATCTTATCCGTAACTAAACACTAATCATGACTAAATGATTTGGTCTGGACATGCATTCCAATTTTTAAAAATTTATCTTTTTAGGCCTTAATACTAATTTTTGTAAGAATTCGGACTACACCATTCTATTCTAAACAATATCCTACGTACAATGAACCTTAACCTTAAGAATTTCTATGAGAAATTTAAATTATTGAAAATAAAATTTCTCATAATCTGAAATTACTACAAAGCACTATCTGGTTATGAAAGTAAGTAACCGTTGAGCATGTGATGTAAAAATCAAGATTTAAAATTAGAATTTAATGGTACTTGTCCGATCTAATTCTAACTAAAATTGTAATCTGTATGATGTTGCTGAATAAGTATGAAATTGAATATACTGTATATATTTGTAATTTATAAATAATAAAAAAATTAACAAAAAAACAGCTGAAAAACGGGTATATTTATAACCAAAATAATGCAACAGTCCAACACCATTTTTCTAGCAAATCAATGTTAGCTTTTTCCAAAAGTAGGTATTACCTACCTATTTGTTTAATAATAATTAAAAATACATATAGGTATTAATAATAGGTGCATTCATATTCATTCAATTGCAAACATGAAGTAGTTAATATTATACTATGTAGTATGTATAGGTCACTCAAAGATGTACCATGGACATCTTATGGGCAGAGAAGAACCTGTATATGTCAAACCTGTGGAGGACGTCTTACAGTAAAGCAACGCCTTGACTACTGTCAAAACCATATAAAACTCAGAAATAGCATAGAAATGTCATTCTCTTCGAAGCCATTTGCCCAATCCAAGACAACACAAAAATATCATCACATTTTTAAACCTTATTGATATGTACATCTTAATCTAAGGAAACCATTGTATTTATATCTTGTATATAAATAACATTTATTTCGTTATAAGCTAATAACCTAGCAGTAGCTTGTTTTATTTGTATTTAAATAATCCTCTGCAATATAAACCATTTGGTGTACAAAGGATAAGATAATTATTAACTTACATTCAACATTATTTTGACAATACAAATAATATTGTGTACTTTTCATAATGGTTTTCAAATTTTGGGTTGGGGAAAGTTAATTTTTTTATAAGTATTTATAAGTTCGAATTTTTCAAACAGCACATTTATATTTATATTTTTTATATGTCGATGCTTTCAAAAATACATTTTATGTATATTATCATAAAAAAGTTAGCAGCTCGAATAAATAAAAAAATTGCATTTATAAAAATGGTTTTATAATCTTGAAAAATCATTATAATGTATAAACATAAAGATTTTATTATCTGAATATGAAGATTATACCAAAATACCAAATTGTATTATGAATATAAGTAAATTATATTGAAGATAAACTAAATTAACAACTAAATATATTCTTAATAACCCCATTAATCATTATGTAATACAATACATTATCAAATTCAAAAGTGCTAATGGGTATACATAATAATAATTTACAAGCTGCAAGTACCAATACTTAATAGATAAGTACAAAAAAATAAAAACTAAAGTAAATTAAAGTACATTGATTCAATATCAATATCATTAAAAATAAGTTTTTAAAAAAATAATTAATGTTCATATTTTGTCTTGTTCGTCATTACTTAAACAGGTGATGGCTGATAAGGATATCCCGGATATTGAGACTGATTTGATGGAGGAGCCAAAGGTCTCTGTGGATATGGCTGATAGCCACCAGGTTGACCAGGAGTTGGATAACCTTGTGGATATCCTTGTGGCGGAGGTTGATATCCTTGCTGAGGTGGATAGTTTTGAGGTGGTCCAGGCTGTTGGTTGGGTCCATTATTAGGAGATTGGTATGATTGAGCATTGGGTTGTTGTGGTGTTGGATAATTAGGTTGTGGTGCAGGAGCAGTCTGTTGTACAGCAACAGCAGCATTAGGAACGGATTGGTTAGGTGGAGGAGGGTATGTTTGTGTGGAGGCCGACGGTGCTGATTGAGTGGTCTGAGAAGAAGCATAAGTATTCTGAGGCGCGTTTCCATAACCAGTGTATGCTGATGGTTGATTTGTTACAGGACCATAACCACTGCTTGAACTCACTGGTTGTTGAACATATCCAGCAGGTGGATAGTTAGGCGGGAAATTTTGTGGCTGAGAAGAAACAGTATTTTGTGGATAATTACCACCAGGTTGGTTGCCATATGGACCATTTGGTTGGTACTGTTGATTTGTAGGTGGGTTGGCATAATTGGGATTTGGGTAGTTTGAACTGGGCACTGGTTGTTGATGACCGTATCCTTGACCTGGATAAGGTTGGTTTGGTGGTTGGTTGTACACCCCACCTCCAACTGCTTGGCTAGAACCAACAACAGCACTGCTTTGTGTAGTTGCAAAATTTTGATAGCCTTGTTGTCCTTGATACTGAGGGGACGGTCTGTATTGTTGAGAAGGTGGACCTGAAATTTAAGAATGATCAAACATTTTATTACAATAATGTTATGTTGATATTTTACCAACTAGCGACACACAAGACTTTGTAAGATTATGATAGAGCTATAATATTGTAAAAATATATCAATAATTGTTTGAGTCTCACTTTTTAAGTCTTGAAAAGCGATTAATATAATAATATAACTATTACTGTACGATACCATTATTTAGAAATCCCTACCCACGTTATGTCCTTATACATAATATATTCACACGATTTACCCATCTTCCTTGAATAATTTACAGTTTACAGATCAATAAAAGGTCATGCTAAATTTTTTTACTGATTAAAAAGTATATAAATTAATATTTTCTTAAAAACATTTGCAGTTTTAAAGAAATTATTTCTGTTAAAAATTGATCCAACAGTTAAATATAATACTCTACAATAAATGAACAAGTTTGACAAACGTTTTACTAGGTATTATGATTCAATGGCATAATTAGGAGTTTGGTTTGTGGATGAGGATTATACGTTTTTACCAAACATGAATGGTCATTAATCAAAATGTTAGCAGTAAAAAAAAAAAGTTATGGGAGGGGATCTATCCTCTTAACTCCCCTCCCATGTTCTAATTGTTATTGTTTAATCGCCATAACTTGAAAATTGTTGCTTTGTGTATTAAGCAAGCTTATCAACTAAGGTTGGAAAGTAGCATAAGGATGTCATTGTATTGAATATTGATAATGAGTGATAAAATTGTGAACTTTAAGTGCAGAAATATTTGGGCCAATTTTAACTTGATTCAACTTAATTGTGTATGGTAAATTGACAAATTGTAGATAAATAAGTAGACGTATAAGACCATTTTTCCATGATAATAAATGAAAAATAAGCTTATTTTCTTGAATGTTTATACTTAATTAATTGTAAATATGTAAAAAAACACAAATATAAAATATCCAATTCACAATTAGGAAAATATGAGTTGGAAATTCTTTTATATTTTTGTTAATTGCATACTAAGTATATTCACAATTAATGCATTTAAATTAAATTAAGTGAAAAGTATACAAAAATAACTATATTTTTCTTGAATTTATAACTGTAGATAATTGAATTATAAATTGTCTTGTATAGTATGTTGGTAGTTGTTTATCTACAATTTAAGATTACGTTTGTTTGAACATATATTTTAAGGGTTAAATTAGGCCAACTACGACTAGCATTATTGGTTCACCCTTTTATCACTTCTTTGACATAATATGATAACGCCCCGAGCTCTAACCTGAGTAAATACTATAGGTATTTAATACACACTAAATTCAAAGATTTTAAATGTGTTCCTAAGAAAAAAATAATTTCTTAGACGTACGCATCGGAGCAATAGATTGTTGAGGGCGATATCCACTAGGAGGCATTGGTCCTCCTTGCCCTTGTGTAAACACTTGGTTCATGGCCTGTTGAGGTGGACCTTGTTGTTGAGGCTGTTGTTGTTGCTGCTGTTGTATTGACTGAGGATTCTGACCTTCAGGTCCACCCATCATAACAGATGGAGGAGGAGGTTGCTGTTGCTGCTGTTGCTGCTGCTGTTGTTGCTGTTGCTGTTGCTGCTGTTGCTGTTGTTGTTGCTGTTGCTGTAATTGCTGCTGATGCTGTTGATGTTGTTGCTGTTGCTGTTGTATCTGGTGCATGTGCTGCCCTTGAGTTTGCATACCTTGTTGCAAGGCTATACTTGGTGGCTGCAAAAATAATAATAGGTACTAATATTAATAATAAAAAAATAAAAAAATACTAGGTAAAATATCAATAGTTGGTACTATCCGTTAACTGAACTACCACCTCATATCGCAACGTTTTGTTGGCGTGGATATGGTACAGATGGACTAACTAGAGCGGGATACACACACAATACATTCAATCATAATTATGTTGACCCAGTTAGTGGAGGGGTGTGGAGCTCACATTTAGCACATTGAACGTTTTTAGGGCTTCCCTAAATGGAGAACCATAGGAACCATGTCATTATTTGAAATCTTATCTTACAAAGTTTATATGAAGACACAATGTAGGAACCATTTAATATTCTTATTCAACAATATATTATAAAAAAATTTAATTTTTGTGATAGGTAGTTTGTAAGTTGATTTTATGTTTAAAAGATACTTGTTTGTTAATACTCTACCACTGAACCATATAACATTTATCACTCCACCATACTTATAGTTTATGTCAGCAGTCCTTTACTCTATAATCTAAAATTTTAATATTCATGACAGATATTTCTCAGTATATTATGTTATGTCTAGTATATTATGATCTATTCATAAAAAATGGTAAATATTTCTTATAATAATTGAAATTATTTTTACAACAAATTATAATATTATAATCATGTTGGTTATCGGCAAGTCACTATAATATCTTACAAACGAGATTAACTTATTTTAAATTTTAATGAGTTATTTCCCTCAAAATGTAATAATGGCATTAGATTTTTATAAAAAAAAACATACCCATCATTAAAACAAATAAAATGTGCAACATTTAAGGATCTTTAGAAAATTGTCTAATTTTGTTAACTTTATTTACATGTAATTATGAATTATTAATTCTCAACTGTACAACTAGATATTAATAATCATAAACAATAATATTATATTACAATAGTTTTATATTTATTTCAAAGTGTATTAACAATAGGTAACTTTAACTATATTATAAAAAGTGAAGGGGTGATAAACTATATGTTGCAGTGGGCGATAACAAGCAAGTACTGTTTGATATTTTGAATTAAGTGTGTACAAGCTACTAGGTACTAATATGGATATATTATTATGCTAACATAAATTGTGTATTGAGTATTAAACTAAAGTGTGATTGGTAGTTGAGATAACGAAATTAAGATCACAGTAACCAATATTTTATAATAAATTACTATAGGTACTTATAATATGTCATAAGTTAAATAATATATGTACATACCGGAAGCAAAGATTGAATGTTTTGATTTGAATCCGCCACAGATGCTAAGTAGACTAAATTGCGGTGAAGAATTTGCTGAAATCTTAAAATAAACAACAAAATATATTGTATTAGAATTGATGACATTTTCATTATATTTTCATTGTTGAACCTATTATATTATACATTATAATATAGAGTCATAGCATAAGGATAAAATTTAAAATACTTAATTAGTTAGGTATATAAACACTAACAACACACTGACTGTTTTACTCAATGTCTTTTGCTAAAATAGTTTAATTCTTTGCTTTAATTAGCAATATTTTAAAATGTGTGTGACCTATAACAGAAGAGTGTTCACTTCAAAAATATTCCTATGACCATAGAAAAATATACGCCTACCTACCAAAATATATAGGTAGACAATTGTTATGAACCTAACAATTTTAGAGTCAAATCTATACTTATGTTTATACTAAAATTTAAATACAATTGTAGAAATGTTTTAATGTCTTTAAACTTGTTGTAAGTACCTAACACAAATTTAAGTATTATATACCTAAGTTAATTACAGTTATAGTAAATAATTGTAACCATTAAACTTACTGAACACAATCTTGAGCTTTTCCTTTACTTTGAAATTCTTGAATAGTTGAAATCAGTTGTGCGTTTTCATCAAGTATCTAAAATATAAATAAATATAAATTATTAATCTTAATATACCTACCAACTAAAACATATGACATATTATCTAGGTACTACAAATTGAGTTTGTATAATATTTCACGGACACGATATACAGTGGGGTATGCAGAATTTTTCAATGGGGGGGACTTGAAAATTAGTAATTTTTATTTTGTCCAGTCTAATGATTTCAGACGTTTATTTGAGGTATTTTAAAATGTTTGTAACTTTTCTGGTAGAAAAAATGCTCTGATCATAGGCCTCGATGCTTGTGTATGTTTTTGGAAGCAAATTGGATCTAGTTGGTACTTTTAGGAGGTCGAAATTGAAAATGCTCAGTGCTTTTTAAAATAATTAGAGAAAAAATGAAAATATATTAAAATTGTTTGGTAACCAGCTTGGTTATACCACAGAATAGATAAAATATCTATATTGTGTTTATACCATCCTCACTTGAATTGTATTTGATTAATTAACATTTTTTTTTCTATAAAATAAATGTCAATAAAAAATTATTCATCCAATCAAAAAGCTTAAAAATGTAATACATAAGTTTTTATTATAGCTAAAATATTAATGATACATAGGCATCTTGGTTTTTTTTTATAAGCATTTTAAGTTCAAATTTCATCAAAACCACAGTTAATTGGTAGTTCAAAACTTATAAAATATTAAATGTGTATAGCTAAGGCTACACAATTTAATACAAGGTCTTTTATACAAGTAGTTCATACTTTTACCGAAAAATTACAGATAATTTATGAAAATTTGTACCTATATGCTACCTAATACAATGTTTTTTTTCAAAAATGAATTCATTCTGGTGAGCCATATTGATATATGAAATTTATGTCTTGCTTATTATAGTTGACAGTTGAAACTTGATAAATATTTTTTTTTAAGTAATATAATAGGGGGAATTGGGGGGAGGGCTTCAGCCCGTGACGCCACTGACGATATAAATATGTAATACAATTTTTTTACACATTAAAATAGTCTATTCTTTGTTACTAAGCATACCTATTTTATTATATTTAATTATATTTCTTTAGGTAAGTAATTTTTTTCACTATCTTCCTACCCATAAGTGCCTATTAATTAATACCGTAGATTGAATTAATTTTTGTCTAAAACATGTTATGGACCAAATAGCGAATGTGGTGTGTACCGTTTCGATGGTGTGTACCGTTTGTTTTAGAAAAAAACTCGGAAAAAAGGCATATTGATTTATATAGGTATTTTATATTTTGGTATGTTTTTATATTTTTTACTCAATTTTTTATTTTATGTATTGTACTACAACCCCCCTCTTTTTGGAGTGCATTAATATTATCATTTAATCCTTAGGTAACTATCATTGACAATTAATACTTAGGATAAAATAATATCATCAGTTAAGTGCATAGTCTAAAATGTGTGTCCTATTCACTATTTAGGTTGGACATGAATAAGACCAGACAATGAGGATTTTTGAGTAATGATACACTAAACATACAACGAAACAAAACTACTTTAAAAGGCAACACTTTTATTTTGCAAACAAATGTAAGGAAAATGTATTTTTGTATGCAAAAAAAACAATGGTGAAATCAGAATTTTGCGGAAAATCAAGGTATTAATGCTATAGCCATTTGAAGTTAGTCGTTTATACCTAACCTAACTGCATATAGGTATAATAGTCCCGGAAGGATCATTCGTTTGCTCAGACTGCTTAAATGGAAAACAACCCCTGATTTGTTATACAGAAAACAAACTTCAAATAAAAAAGAGTGAAACCAAAAAAATAATCTATTTACCTATACATTAACAAGGGATTAAAACCAAATACTGACCTAGGTACTCCGTTTTGGATACTTTGCTACTCTCATAGTATATTTAATATATTAACCTATAAATATATTTAGAGTGAAAAAGCCATGGAACGATATTCTTTAAAAATTAAACGGTTAGGCAGTATAAAATTGAAAAGAAAATGATTTGAGAGTAAAGTATTACAGTCGATGTACAGGTAGATATGTTTAACATTATTATACACATAAACCACAGGTATTCAAACTGTGAGTTGCCAGAGTTCGTGAAGGTAGCCGTGTCAAAGCACCGGAAACCAAAACCAATGTACCTAAGTCATGTATAAATGAATATAAATATTATTAATTATAATCTTTAAAGCAATTATGGAAACGATAATGAAACACATCAGGCGACAATTTGAAGTCTTATTACTAAAGTCACTGTTACCTAATCGTTATTTGATATTATCATCCATATTGTTTCATTTTTTTTTTCACGAAATTAACACGAGAGCGGTCAAAATAATGTGAACCAAAAGAGTTTGAATACTTTTGACATAAAAACGTTAAGCATATAATATTGTCGTCAGCCCTGAGCGATGTCTACGACGGTTTTCCACTTACCTTTTGGATTTGCATCGTAGGCGGCACTCGGCGGTTCTGATTGTAGGCGGCCGCGGCTGCTGCGGACGCCATTTCGATGGGGTTTCTATTCGCACTGCGGGCTGCCAGAATGACGACGGCGTGTGACGGTCGAGGAGGAAAACGGCAACGACGACGGCGACGGCGGCGTGCTAAAACGTCGACGGCAAGAGCACACGGAGAGTGTGTCGGAGGGGGCTCTCAGAAAAGCGAAAAAGCTCAACTCGAATGGAAAAAATGGAGAAAAAACTGAGTATGAAACGGACGAATCGATAACGAAGAAAGCGGTGAAAAAAAAATTGATGAAAAATGTGCGTCTGTTACTCTGCGTCTGTCGGTGTGTGGCGTGTGCACTGTGCGTGGTGCGTCCGTGCGGCGTGCGCGCGTGCGTGCGAGCGTTTAGGAAAACAAAAACGGATTTTTCGACGCGCGCTCCCGAGTCGGCGGCGGCAGCGAACGGACACGACGTCCCGGCGACACTCGACCGACGACAACGCGTAATTATATTATTATCAACCGATCATCGTAACCGGTTATAATATATTTTGTTGCGACTTGCGGAACATATTAAATAATATTATAGGCCTATTTATTAAATGTTATGTTCGATTTTCGCCACCAACATAAACTAACACTCGACCGCACACCGCCGCGCAGCCTGTCGCTGTGGGACAGTAGGACATTGGGAGGTTGGGACGACGTTACCGGGCGGGCGGTTGACAAAGATGTCGAAACGTAATCTATAGGGAGCGATAAATAAAAACCATAAAAACCACAGATATATACAATAAAGGCGGGTTCACACTACACCGTGTCGTGTAATATAATCACGGTTACCTCAGTTACCAAACGATACCGCATAGTTGAATATATTCAATTTTTGACCGTGTGGTTACATTAAGTATGAACCCGGCTTTATCTGCACATAAATGTAACCACACGGTCAAAAGTTGAATATATTCAACTATGCGGTATCGTTTGGTAACTGTGGTAACCGTGATTATTTTACACGACACGGTGTAGTGTGAACCCCCCTTTATAGTTATAAAAACAGACAAATCGGTACCTCCCACCACCACAACCACAGCATCCGATGAATTTTATCTACGGACAATGATGACCATAGATAATAAAGATCTTTATTATCTATGATGATGACAAGACGTCGCGCACGGCTATAATAGATATCAACAATTGTCAATAATATTATCATGATTAAATTATATTTGATAATAATAATAATAATAATAATAATAGTTATTTGATCATGAAAATCATACTAATCAACTAATCATAGACAGATAATTCTTTGCTCCCGGGTAGAAAGGGCTTAAGTCAATTTTTCACAAAAATATGTTTTTCCACAGATGTAAAGCTTAATTTTTGCTCATATTTTTGGTACATTTGGCATAAGTCAGTGACGAATATTATTCATATCATTAAAGAAATAAATAGGGCATATCTAAACATAACCGTTTCTACGTTTGGTACCGTTAGGTACGTTTGGACCTATGCCTGGACAAAAAGACATAAGTCAAAATAAGTGAAATCAAATAGACATCAGTCGTGGACAAATATAGGGCTTAAGTCAGAACAAGTGAAATCAAAAGGGCATAACTACAGTTATCTCGTTAAATATTCATAGTAACAAGAATTTTAATAGTTACATGAATTAAGAATGTAATATATATAATATAAAAATATCTTAAATATGTATGGATATAATGAACTTACAAGTAGGAATTTTCAAACTTTGACACTGCTGTCGCAAAAAGTTGGTAAAATTAACTATACCCATTTTTCCCCGGGACAAAGATTTATCTATGATGAAAATATATTATTATAATCTGTAATCTTTTTTTATTCGTTTATTTAAATTTTAAATGATTATTTACAATCTGTACTAGGGGGCACAAGTAAAATGTTTAGCATAATGATGAAAAGGACAGTTTAAGATTACTTTATAATCTAATCAGTCCGACTGTCTACTAGCACAGGTGGATTGAACTCAAAGTGATGGTCTCGAACCAGAAACTTTTTCATTGTATGCTGAACCAAACAACTAACAAGGAGGTTGAAATTAAAATTTCCTAGTCCTCTTCAAAATATTCAAGAAAACTATTAATGGATATTACCTATAATTGTCAAAATCGATTTGTTGTTTTGCCACCTATAGATACTGTTAAATGATAAAAATCCCATGTTCATTATAGATATATTATTTACACTGAAATGTATTTATCTTAGAAATACATAATTGTATAGTTGTAGTACTCTACCATCTTTTATACAATTTTTGTTTTTAATAATTAATAATTTTACTGAACACGGAATATAGGTATGTCATAAGTTTAATTTTCACCAATTAGGTTACCTACCTGTTATAATTTTGAATAGCTTACTGTTTAGGCCTAGGTACTTATGTTGTTATTTCGATCTTTGTTACCTATTTTTAACTTTTATACAAACAGAAATCACATCTTTTATAAATAATTTGTATCTTAATCATTGCGTTGAATCTGAATGTAGTACATTAAGATACTTAGGTGCCTAATAACTACTAATTGCATCAACAAAAGAAATTCCATTTGTTTCAAATGGTGCACGTGTTGAGCATAACTAAAAATCACTAGATTTGTACTTTCATACATTTATTAAGAATAATTCTAATTAAGAAGACAGCCTGACATTGTATCGATAAATGTTGTCTCAGAACCCTGTCTTATACATGCATAACATAACAAATCTACATACTTATCAGACTCTAACTAAACATAGAGTAGGTACGGCCGTACAGGTCATTTATACGGGTTAGTATTAGAGAAAATTTATATATAATACAATTTGTATAGAAAAGTATAAACTATGATCGAGCTAAGAGATTTTTTTCATATTTTAATTTTAAAATGAGTTATTAAGTACTTATATCAGCTAATTTATTGTTTTCTCTCTCTGGCCAATGCATAACATAGACAAAATGCATTCATGCAAAATAATTTTTTTTAAGTTTTTGAGTAATCTTCAAGTAAAATCTACAATTACAACAATTTTAGAGAATAATATTGTTCAGTGTACCTTTGACATATCGACTTGTTTAAATGTTGTCTAAAAACTATTTAAATTAACAAAATTGGGTTTTATTTTTTGAAGTTGAATATAAAGTAAAATAATAATAAAATAGAAAAAAACAATAATAATATGTCAAACCATCAAAAATATTATACTCTATAATTGTTGCAATAAATGATTTGAAATTAAGATGACCATAAATCATAAAAAAAATATATTGAGCTTGGATGTGAGAGTAAACAAATATTGCACTGACATCTTAAATAATTCATTTTTTTTCAAATTCACATCTCGTTAAAAATATAAACAAAAAAACTCTTTGCCTCATAGATGCTCATGTTAAACTTTATAATTGCCTATTTTATACATACTTAATTTAGAATAAATGCATACAAGTTTCATATATTACATATATAAAAATTAATTTTAGTTAAAAATGAATATTGTGATTTTTTTTACAACAATAATTCAATAATTTTTCTAAGGATCTAATTATGAATATAGTGTCAAAAATCACAGTTATGCAAAATAAGTAAAATAATAAATGCAAAAATGAGCAACAAGATTACAAATTAAGATTTTTTTTGTATACAATTTAAATCCAGACCATATATTTATACACACAAGAACTAATATGAATGTGGTATAAAATAGGAACAAATTGGATCTCTAATATTTACAAATTATATCGGTATTATATCACTATAATAAATGTTCCATAAACTTAAAAAAGTTACTATTGAAAATGTTATTAAAAAAAAAAATACAAAATAAAAAAACATTTGAAAATATACATAGTATACATTATTTTATTTTAAGGTCTGCTATTAAAGCTAAATGATCTGAAGGAAATAATAAACTCGGAATTCCACCGTGTTGAGTAACATCATCATGTGATGGCATGGATAATACCTAAAAATAAAAATAAATAAAATCTCACAAAAATATTTAGCGCATAATAATGTTTACCTGAATAAGCTCAAGATGTTGATTAGTAAAATATATGTAATCTAAAAGTCCGAAAAAAGTTTCGGTATAATTACTGTACAGAACATCAGTATTATATGCACTTTCCATTTTAAATTCAAGATTACTTTTTAAATCGTTTAATATTTTTACCATTCCTGAAAAAAATATACCTTAATTACACATGAAGTTAACAATTATATTGACTCATTGATACTTGTAACTTCTAAACTAATATAATTAGTGGACTACCAAAATAAATTGAGAATTCTAAGTGTCCTCTGCCAAATATAAATATTTTAAACAACATTCTTTAATTTGTTAATTATTTTCACCAATGCAATTTTTCAGAAATATTTGTAGACGGTGTGTAGCAAATCAAATATGACATTTCAATAATGATAACTGATAAGCTTATAAAAATACTTATACAAATCTTAAATGCAGAATAAAGTGTTTAACACTTGATTACTACTTAAATTGGTAGTCCCCAGATACTTAGAAGCTTGAATTGATTATATTTTTTTTAAAGTTGAATAATTTGTTTTTTAAAAGAATGAATAGTGTATAATATTATAACATATTAACAGTAAACTGCATTTTTTAACATATCTCTCTAAATAAACTTTGAGCCTGAAAATATTTAAGTAAAATAAAAATGTATTTACTATGTTCTTCTGGTAATATTAATTTGGTGGCTAAATCATAAACACCGCTTTCAGGTGTACTGTTGAAATCTCCACAGAATATAACAGATATATTACGTCCAAGATACTGAAATTTAATACAAAATTATATATTTATAATTTATGCCTTTCAATTAATTTAATAATCGTATTTTATTATTTTTTTATTTATATAAAAGTAAATAGTCACAATTGCAAAAAAAAAATTGATATTTGTATCCTCACAATGATTTTTTTAAAATTATTCAGAGTTGCAGGTTTGTGAAGTTTTTTGTAAAAATATTCTAATTGATTTCTTATATGGTGCCCCTGACAATCACATAATATTCATTTTTTCCTGATTTTTTTTGTAAGTAATATAATGTTATTTTATTTAACATACATTTTTAAGGTAAAAGATGTTTTATTTAAATATTGTCTTAGAAAGAAATTAAAGTAAAAATAATTGAATCCATTTTAAGACACTAAATAAGGTTCTGTTAGAGTAAACCACTGTTGGAAATTAGTTAGCACAACATGTTAGTTAATATCTAGAAACTAGAAATCTTTGTTTACAATTTAAAATGGTATATTATTTCTATGGTTACTAAATAATAATTTTAAAATGAAAATATAATGAAAATTATTTCATTTAATATGCAGTTTATACACGATGAAGTAATTCCACTGGGAGGCCTCTTTTTTCTATCATTATTTATTATTTTTATCAGTTAAGCTTTTTGTTCTAATTAAAACAGACGGCATAATATATAATATTTTGAGAAAAAAAATATACAGTTGAGTAACTTTTCAAATTAAGATACTTACTTCTTTATTTATATTTTGTTTTATTTTGTTAATAATAATTAGTTCAATTAAAGCTTGAAACAATCTTATAAAATCACCATCTGGATCAGATATCAAATGAGTATTGCATACTAAGAATAATTGTTTTTTGTCAGAAATCAATTCAAAAGCAAGGACCTATAAAATAATAAAACATTTTAATTTTTTTTTGTTAATAAATACATATTTCTAAGACTAATTGCTAATAATAATTTTACAACATGAAACTAACATAAACTAATTAAAACTATAAAATAAGCAAGACTTTCTTTTAAAAATTAAATTAAATGTAAATTTTACATTTTAAGATCCCATAAAATACTAATATCAGTAATCACTAACTTGGAAAACAGTTTTTTTTTCTAATCCTTGTTTCCAAATTTCATTATCCATTATATCTTTCACAATAGGTCCACAGTATAATTCCACAGTAGTCGGATTGTTTAAACTAATATCAAATTGTTCTAATAAACTGAAATATATTTAAATTATATTAAACCATTAAAATATTATTCAACATAAAAAATACAAATAATACTGTATAACATACTTAAATTTTTCAGGAGAATAAAAACAACTCAGACCTTCATTCCTACGGCCATTTTTTTTCAAAAATAATCCAGTCATGCAATTGAATTGTTTTAATATAGGACATAATTCTCTACGAAAAAAATGTTTATCCACTTCTTGCAAGCAAATTATATCTCCATTGTATGCTACATATAGATAATTAATTATACATAAAATAAATTATTTACATATTATCATTCAAGTACCTTGAAGTTCTCTTAAAATAAGAGGGTGCCGATAACTGCATGCTAAAATTTCTTCTGGGCAATAAGGATACATTTCAGTTTTTGCTTCCTTAGTTTTTGTGTATTCTCCAGCTAGTAAATTGTATGTAACAACTCTAATACTACAACACATAATTACAGAAAACAAATTTAGTTAACTGCTTGCAATAATAATTAATAACAACCATTGTTTATTTTAAAAGTATTAATACTTATTAAGATATATATTTTATTTTAGATAATAAATAATTAAATACCAGTTAATTATTGTTAAAATTACAGTATCATTGGTTAAATATATATAATTAATTCACTTTACCTATTAAGTGGCTTAGTTTTTAACCTCTTTTCAAATGGGTAGAGTTGAGTGGTATTTTCTAAGACTGTCGAAGATGTTATTTCTGCTTTAGGTCCTGGTTGGCCTTTATCGTTAAAAGGAATACACACCAATTTTAGACAACAATTAACATCCTCAGCAGTCGGTGTATAGGTCATTTTATTGCCCACTTCTGTTTCATCTTTTGAATTAATTCTGTACCATAAATACTGAGTATCCATAACAGATACATTAAGTCCCTGATCAAGTGCATAGGGATATATCATTAGTCCTTGATATGGAGGATATCCCAATTTAAATTCCTTAATTAATGGTGCATTAATTATTATTTTATAAGTCTGATCTTTAATTTGAAGCGTAATATTGTCTTTCGTTTCCTCAAATACTTCATAACATTTAGAAGTAGAAGGTACTTTGATTCCATTTGCTAATATTAAGACCCAACATCTCTTAAGCTTATCTTTTTCACTAACTTTGCGTTGACTATGTGATAATTTTAAAACAAGTCTATCAACAAATACTTTTATTGTATCTTCTGGACTTCGACACAATTGTATTGTTTTTGATTTGTTAAATGGTGATGGTAGAGTTACCATAATTTTTTGTTCGGTCTCTCCCGTTGGAATCAAACAGTTGACAAACATTGAATTTTCCCATAAAATTAATTTAAAAGAAGACATATTTCTTTTAATGCAATAGATATGCTTGGACAACTTGTTAAAATATTTCATATGTTTATCTAGAAAAATAAAATTAGCCCGTGAGTGTATTACCTATATTTAAGTACATTTATGAGGAAGTTACACTGACATTTGTTGTCTCCGTCTTACAAATGCCTAACATACCAAATTATAGGCTCAGCAGAACACTAGCTAAATTTAAGTGAATTGACCTCTTAGAAAATTTAAAGGTAAGTTTATTATCTAGGCAATCTCATTGGCTTTTTATTATATTTTAATTTTAAAGCGAGTTGAGTATTTTAAAATTGTAAATTTTTTATAGATCTTAAAATAGTCATAACTTGTTTTAAAATTAAAATATAATAAAAAGCCTATGAGATTACATAGATAATAATCTTACCTTTAAATTTTATAAGAGCTCAATTTACTCTAATTTTTTAACCAACAGACCTAAGTGTGTTCTTCTGAGCGTACAATTCTTGTAAGACGGAGACAACAAATGTAAGTGTTAAATTCTCTTAAATTGTATTTTATATGCTTTGTTTTGGGATCTAGAAATAATTCAATATGGCAATTTGAGCTAACATTGACATGGAGTGATTAATACTTTACGATTTAATTCGTAATAAATTGATAATGTAAAAACAATTTTCAGTGAATGGGGTAGGTACATTGAATTGAATAGTCGATTAGTGAATATATACCCAAATTATCTAATTTTTATGTGTAAATAGCTCTCATAGCTTATAAACATACAAACAATTATGTAGAACAGAGTTCATCAAAATATGTATAAAAAAAATTACTGGAAAAAAAGTTGTAAGTACTTAGGTATATTAAAAAAAAAATCTGTTTAATAAACAACATGTGCCATTACAATAGGTACCTATGACCTGATGACTGGGATTCATAGCACTCGAAGACTGAAGTACGAAATTCACAAGTAAATAGAAGGTATATCAAAGCTATTTTAAACATTTTGAAACTAAATATTATAATAACGACAGATTTGCATACTTACATTGATATTTATTTTTACATATAATCTTCAATACTGATCAACAGTAAAAAAATTTCACAATAGAATGTTGAACCCAGTAAATACTAAATAGTAATGCGGCAGGATTTACGGGCTTACGGCTCCAGAAAATCCGGCACATTATCAATGAAAATACGTTTAGATGATAACAATAATATTATGATAATTGATAACGACGGACGAATGGATCTTCGCAGCACGGTTTACCTTTGTCCTTTACCATAATATAAAGTTCGTGTTCCCTGGAAAGAATTTTTCCGATCCGTATATTATAAAATTGCCTATAATTTATAACTATCCGCTATTGCCATTGAGTATATTATATTGTATAGAGAAACAATGTTCGATATATTATGCTAAAACTTTTTTCATATAAATGATATCAAAAAAATAAAAACGACGTTGCACAGCCAAAGTTCTCCTTTTTGTGTGGTGAAAATGTTGTTTCTTAGTTATGACTGTAGCCTTCTCGGTTCTTTCCCGCGCAAAACAGTTTTTGCTATGTTGTACATTTGTAAGACGGAGACAACACATGCGGGTGTAGCGTCCTCTTAATAATAACTTAATATTTTATTGTTCTATGATATTAGTTCATTGACGATGACAACGGGGCGCGATACCAGTCACCAACGATATTATTTTATATTTAATAAATTAATATGTGAAATTAATTAATATTATATTATTACTCATCAATTATTGTTTGACATACTAATAATAATATAATAATTAATTTTACTGATAAAGGTATTGTACATTCTAGAATAAAGGTAATTATTAATTAATGATTAATGAACAAATTAATTAATCATCGTTAATAATCGTTCAAATATTTATTTTCCTACCTTTATTCAATAATTACCAAAATTCAATTTGACAAAACAAATTTAATAAATACATGACTAGCTATTATCATTTATCAGCTTTGGAAAGAAATTGGCCGCTGTCTTTACCCGTGTCTGTTAGAGCCTAAATTGAACTAAATTGTAGTGAACCCTAGAGGCAAACCCAAAAACTATCCTATCAGTATACTATGTTAGTGTGATTTGTGATCATACTAATCACCGGTAAAAATACCGGTAAATAATAAAGATTAGAAAAAACGCCGCCAAAAAAAAAAAAAAAAATTACATTTATTTTAATTTTATTGTTATTGAATAATTTTAATTTGTAAATGTGGGCTAGAGGCTTATTTATCTAAAGAGTAATTAATATTTTTTAATTATTATAATCTTAAACTGTTGAATAATGCCAAGTGTTGTGTCAAAGATTGGGGATGTCGCATTAAATCCTTATTTAGAGTGCCTAAAAATTAAAAAAATAATGGAAATAGCATTAAATATGAATTTATACCACAATTCAAGGATATGTGCTACTCACTTTAATCCAGATGATATTATTGCCACGTGGGAATCTGGTGTTGGTGCGAATAAATATTCTGTGAGTACATTTTACAACAGACAAAGATACATTTGCTCTCAAACCACAGTTTTCTTTCAATATTTTTCAATTATTTTTAGATTTGTTTGAAAAGACCAAAGCTTAAAGCTAGTGCAATACCAGTTAAAATATTGAAAATCAATGAAGATTTAATTTTTTCACACAATAATGTACATTGTGTACAACATGATCATACATACTTCAAATTTGAAAATACTACTGATTCTCAATCATATGAAATTCAGCATGCTGAGGTAACTATTTATTAAATTATTGATAATTAATTAACTAGACAAGTTATTTGTATATAATTACAGGTTGACAATTAAGTTATGACATTTTTTAAATTGATTTTTGAAAATGTATCATCAGTAAATATTCCATCTAAATGGATAGGAAAAAATAATTTCTTTCTATAAACTTAGTTTATATGGTATAAATTACATTCGCACAATTGAAACACAATTGGTTATTTCTGAAGGTAATAATTTGTCTTTTTATTTTGTAAATGTATAAGTATATTATGATAGTCAATTGACATTGAAATTAATTTTAATTTAATTTAGATCTCAGGATGTCTTAATACTTTTTTACATTACAGATTCTGATATATATTTTTATTTATGTGGAGAACTATTTGATATGACTAACATTTTAAGTCAATTAAAAACTGTTGAGGATCTTGAAAATATATTAAGTGCTTTTGAAAATTTGAAGGTGTGCTCTGGTTTAAGTAGCAAAAGAGATTTTCAAAATGTTAAACCTACATTTAGTCCAGATCAATATATTGAATCTCTTGAACATTTTCGGCATGAGCAATGCACTAAAATTGCATCTAATGAAATAAGGTATACTTCAATAGGTTGATTATATATGTGATTAAATTTTAGGATGTGGTTATACATTTGATCATTTTAATAAATTTGTTTGTTTCTGTTAGTGGTATTTGTAATTTGTGTAAGAAACTATATTGTTCCATGAGGCAAAAACTATTATGGTTAAAACACAATAAACCAGTTGAAAGTTATTACTCTCCGAGAAAGCAAAAGTGCATTAAGATTTTAAAGTTTATTTATTTATGCATATGACAGTCGGCATGAGCTCTTATTTAGATTTAAATTTAACAGAATTAATAGATAAACATACATAGAATTTTAGATAAAATATAACAGACTAATAACAATAACAACAACAAATAAAACAAAGCAGACTAAAATATTATAGGACATGTTCTTCAAACATGGTTGTTAGAGTCGAATATCAAGTTCCTCTAGCCATTTGATCGCCATTGGTCCGCAGATGTGTAGAGTTGCTATCCCTCCTTCAAATCTTCTTCCACGCGATATTCGCGTAAGCCATAGCACAACACCTAAACCTTTCAAAAATAAATTTTAAAGTTAACACAAAAAAATAATAGAACCATAAAAAAAATTCAAGGTTGAAAAATGCTTTAAGTGATGTACATCTTCAGATGCAAAATGTTTCAGATACTTCTTTAAAAGAGACATAAGCTAATTCTGGTGTAAGTGATATGCAGGGTGAACTTATTAAAGAGATTTTTGCCACGGCTAAAACAAAAAATTCCAAAGAACGTAGGTATAGTGAAAACTGGCTGATGTTGTGTCTATTGTTCCAAATAAGGTAAATCATTTTATCTAATTTACCTTTAGCATTAATTCAAAACAATATTAAATATTAACGATACCATTAATTGTTTATAAAGAATGTAGATCACCAAGTGGATACAAATTTTCAAGAGAGTAAAACATAATACCACTTCCATGTATGAACACAATAAGAACACTTATTAGCAATAAAAATTGTTGTGGCTTTGACATTAATTTTTTCAAATTATTTAAAAAGAAATTTTCTGTAAAAACAGAATATCCAAAAAAGGGTATACTTCTTTAAAATGAAATTGTTTTAAGATCAAGTATAGCTGTAAATAGTAGAACCCTTACATATTCTGGCCTTGAAGATTTTAGAGATAAAGTAAAAGAAGCTGATCAAGTCGATCATGGACTTTTGCTAATGTGGCAAAACTTAGCAGAAAATTGTATCCAACCACAATTGCAGTATTTGCAATTCGAAAGGGCCAGTTAAAGGTGATGTGCATCTATTTGAATTTTGTTCTTTAAAATTAACCGAACTTGATCATTTTCTTTTAACTAATAAAGAGTAATTTACTACAGGCCGAAATGAAATGAAATTTTCAATATTTGAAACTCAAGCTTTATAATAATATATGAATTAAAAAATGATACAAATTTACACTTTTTTTTACAAATTTACAAAAATAAAACAACAATTGTCTAATAAATATACATAAAATTGGCAAATAAAATGCATAATATTTATGGTTTCAAAATATTTGAAATTACAGATGGTTTCAAAGCTAGTTGAAGTTGACGATCTCTTTCAATTTCTGCCATTTCTCTTAGTTTTAATACTATTTCTTTCTTTTCAGCAATCTATAAAATAAGATATAATTAAAAATTAAAATATTAACTATTTTAATAAGAAACTAATATACAGGGTTTTCCATTTAACTTAAGACACTCGTTCTTTCGGA